CCAAAGGTGAGCTACACTCTCAGAAATCCCAGCCCACTAGATTTATAAAGGTTGAATAGGGCCTTATTGCATGTATGTGAGGTGGAGTAGGAGAAGGGTCTTTAAATGGACATAAGGAAGACTTCTACACAGCAGACTGACTGATCCTGATTTTCAAAAATTCAAATTAAAGCCATATTGTTATTCATTGTCTTGTCCAAGTAATCTGTTTTTCTGAAATTAACTACATCATTGGTCTTTTATACATCTATCTCATTGTATATTTATTTATTTTCTTTCCAAAATTTCAGATAAAGTTTCTTGAATTTTTCAGAGATTAGAATGCTTTAGGCTTTTAAATGAGATCCCATGCATATGCATTTTCTTGCAAAATTGTCCATTCACTATTTAGCAGTTACTGAGGCTCTGCTTTTCTTTAGCTAATACTGTCATTGTGTACAAACAACACTTGGCTATATTGTGATCAGAGTGAGCAAGATCTTTAATTGATGTTTCTCCATGAATCACAAATATATTGTATGTGGCGACTTACATCGTGTATTATTGTGAGCAAATTTTCAACAGTGAATATGCATTTGACCCAAGACAAACATTATAACCTTTCTGAAATATGGAAAAATAACCAGTTATTCAGTGTAAGAGCTAGGTGTAGGTCCATGATTACAAACAATGTAACAAACCCAACAGTATAATAATGTGGTACAGTTTATTCCAATTACTATCAAGACAAAGAAATGGAGACTAAATAATGTGACAGGTCTAAGGTGGCAGTGCCATACTCCACTAATTATGACATAAAACTACCACACATCTCACACCCTATCTCAACCACTCAGCCTCCTACATAACGTCCTCAGTACATGCTGCATCATCTCCTTCCTGGTTGCCAGGGCAACATAGTTTATACCTGTCAAATCTGTGTTGGGTGGAGAACAATGAGGCAAAGCTGTTTTCTCGAAGTTATGCTCACGAGTCAAGTTGCCAGCTTTGATGTTAACCCAGAGAATTTCCCTAATAGTTTATGCCAGGCCCCCTTAACCTCTTTATTCCTTAGGCTGTAAATCATAGGATTCAGCATTGGTGTCAAAATGGCATAAAAGAGAGAGATCAACTTCTCCTGAAGGACAGAGGGACCAGAATGGGGCTGGATGTAAGTGAAAATGGCCATGCCATAGCACAGGGCAACCACCGTGAGGTGAGAGGCACATGTGTGGAAGGCTTTCCTCCTTCCTTCTCTGGACTGGATCTTTAGGATGGCGGAGATGATCCGGATGTAGGACAAAAGAACCAGGCAGAAGGGTGTCATCAGAAGAAGAATGCTAGACACCATGATGGCAACCTCATTGGAGGAGGTGTCCACACAAACCAGCCTGACCACTGCTAGAAGTTCACAGGATATGTGATCAATAAACTTGTTTGTGCACATGGGCAGCTGAAAGGTGATGGTGGTCTGCATGAAAGAGTTAATGGATCCACTGACCCAGGATGTGACGGCCAACCTAGCACACCGTCCTCTGTGCATAATGGCCAAGTATCGCAGGGGATCACACACAGCCACATAGCGGTCATAGGCCATCCCTGCCAGGAGAACAAACTCAATCCCACCCAAGGCCAGGGAGAAAAATAACTGGGCTGCACAGCTCCGGAACGGGATGGCTTTATGTTCTGCAAGAAAATGCGCCAGTAGCTGAGGGACTATGCTTGTGGCATAGGAGACATCAACGAGGGAGAGGTTGGTGAGAAAGAAATACATGGGAGTATGGAGTCGGCTGTCCAGCCTGATCAGAAGAACAATGAGACAGTTCCCCAGCATGGTCACCACATACATGACTAAGAACAGGACAAAGAGGGAGACCTGAGTGTCCCAGTCACTGGACAGGCCAAGGAGAATAAATTCACTCACCCAAGTCTCGTTATCTCTTCCCATTTAAATATTCAAGGATTATTAATCTGTGAAGAGAGTCAGAAAAAAACAGAATCTGTTGAATAGCCATAAGAATGACCTTTTAAGAATAAATATTTATATGACCTACCAGTGCTAGCCTCAGTCTTTAGATTATTTGTGAGGTTAAGCTAACAACCTGGATTCCAACATGCATTGTTTCTAAGTCCCTCAAGAAGGGCATGATTTGTCTCAGGGAGGTCAGCTAAAGCCTGGAGATGATGTAGTGCAGTTTTAGGAGTTCTACCTTTTTACCATCTTATTTGATTCTAGAGCAAGAAGAGCCTGGTAATTGAAAATTGTCAGGTTCATCCATGTCCCTACAAAGGACACAAACTCGTCATTTTTGATGGCTGCATAATATTCCATGATGTATATGTGCCACATTTTCCCTGTCCAGTCTATTATCGATGGGCATTTGGGTTGGTTCCAGGTCTTTGCTATTGTGAACAGTGCTGCAATGAACATTCATGTGTATGTGTCCTTATAGTAAAACGATTTATAATCCTTTGGATATATACCCAGTAATGGGACATCATTCTCAGCAAACTGACAGAAGAGCAGAAGATCAAACACTGCATGTTCTCACTCATAGGCGGGTGTTGAACAATGAGAACACATGGACACAGGGAGGGGAGCACTACACACTGGGGTCAGTTGGGGGGAAATAGGGGAGGGATGGTGGGGTGTGGGGAGTTGGGGAGAGATAGCAAGGGGAGAGATGCCAGATGTAGGTGATGAGGAGGAAGGCAGCAAATCACACTGCCACGTGTGTACCTGTGCAACAATCTTGCATGTTCTTCACATGTACCCCAAAGCCTAAAATGCAATAAAATAAATGGAAAAAAAAGAAAATTGTCAGAAAAATGATAAACAGTGAAGACAGACAGTTGGAAACTATCTCAAATATGCACACTAGACTCAACTTGATGAAATATGTATATCAATCACAAAAGGAAACATTGGGAAGTGGCAAGGGTCTTGTGGAAAGAGCCTGGAATCAGAGAACCTAGGTTTTATCTAGCAGGTAGGTGACTTTTCTTTAGTGACAAGGTTCATAGGTAAGACAGATCACTATTAAATGACTCATAGTTACTTTTAAGTCAAACTTATATAGGTTATAGGGAAGTACTTGGTATACACTAACTGGTAGTACTAGTACTAGGAGTGTTAGCAGTATGATGACTTCTGCTTTGGAGGAAAAGTAGCAACTTTGCTCACATATCCCCTCCACAAAATCAGATATAAATTGGTAGCAACCTCTAATAGCTCTAAGGGCTTGGAGGCTTTGAGGATTCACTGGTCTTTTTGATAGGCTTTGGTTTCTTCGATCATTAGTGGAATAAGGGAGGACATTGTGATGGCATCTTGTTCTTTGTATTTTTCTCTTTTCTATTTGCTTCTGTTAAGAATCTATCCTTTAAATATGGGTTTAAAAGAACAAAAAGATATGAATAGTTAGATGTTTCAGACACAAGGGATGAATCGAAAGCAGTTGTTTAAAGACCTTCTTCAACTCTGTCTTCAACAAAGAAGATGTGCTTTGGAATGGAGATTCCCTGATGTTGTCTTTTGCAAATGCTTTTTCAGTAAAACTAATGTGTTCATTATATCATCAGTTGTGAACCTTAAACAGAAACAGGTTACATTTGAAAAATTTTGGAACTGATTCCTTCTTATTTCATGTCCACCTATTCACTAACTTTTCTTTTACTGCAGTGCACACAGTAAGGGAAACTAGGAGAGAAAGGAGGCAGGGGCATTGAGGCCAGAAACAGGTCAGACGAGAGTGTCTTAGTTGCAAGAGAAAGACTGTCAGTTCTGCAAGTCTCTTGCTCGATAAAGGATTAAACAAAACATGTAGTTCCAGAAATGCCCGTCTCCTTCATGGCTCAGAATCACATCTATTTTTTCTAAACTCTTCCCTAATGTCCTCCTCAAAACCTTCTTCCTCCTCCAATACTTCCTCCTTTACTGCTCTGTCCTGATGGGTCCTCAGGGTGCTTTTCTTCAATCTTGACTGACCTGAGAATACATCTGATTGCCTCAAAGAAGACATTCTAGTTTAAACTCTACAATCTCAAGTATATGTTTTCCTTTAAAAAAAAATCTGTCAACTCTTATTGAATAGACAGAAGATGTGCACCAGAAGTAGACATTTTTTCCACTAATTAGGCAAATATCTATGAAGTGCCGTCTTTGATAGATGCTGATTTTCTGCTCATCGGTGGAGGAAAAGGCACAGACACAGTGATCTTCCCCACATCATTTGCTCTTCTGCCTCACTGGAGACCCTGCAAGCCCATGACTCACTCCTCTCAGCCACCCCACACCTCTCTCCACTATAGTCTATGTCACATTACAAATGAGTGACAGTGTCTCATCACAGAGAAAGTGTGAACTGCAGAGTCTAACAGCTCCTGTTTGTTCTGCTTCCTGAGACTTGGAGCAAGATACTTAGCCTCTCTGAGTCTCATATTCTTCAGGTGTGATATGGGCCTAATATTGTCCAGCTGAGGGGTCCCTGGTGAAATTAAAGGGGTTAAAGGACCAAAGTTCCTGCAGGAGCGCCTGAACAGGCAGGTGCCCGTTATTTACTGATGATCCTTAGCCTTCTTCATTCACTCCCCCTCTCTGCCATCCTCAGGTTTCTCTTGCTCCTGAGCAACTCCTTTTCCCTCTTTATAAAAGAAAATATACAGACATCTCAATTAAGGAAGCTTTAGTTTATATATAGCATTCTAAATCCCCTTCATTTCACATCTCTAATGACTGGAATCCATTTTCTGAATTTACTTCCTGATATTAATCCCTTAACCAGTGGAAATTTCTACCCTCACTAATCTATAGAACTTGAAAACTTAAAGGTTACTGTCATCAGCAATTCAAGAGAATTTTATTCTATTTACATTCTTTAGTTAGCTTTTAACAATGTTACCTGTTTGTTTCTTCAAACTCTCAACTCTGTCATGGGCTTCTGTCCTGATCTTCCTCCAATTGATTTGCCTTGTAAGAATTCTTAGCTTCCTTAGTTCTGCTCCATTCTATGAGCATTTGCTAAGGTTCTGTACTTAGAAGTTACACTCTAGTTCTACAGTTTTTCTTGGAAGGCTTGTTATTTCTAGCTATAATAATTACTATCAACTCTATATGGCTCACTCTTAATTTCACCTTTACCTTCTAGATTTCCCTCCAAGGCTCCAAATGCATTCTGCAAAAGCTGAATGAATGTTTCCTAAATGTATCACCAATGCCTGTATTCCTCTATCCACAAATGAAATTCCCTCCTGACCTCTTTATTTCTATCAACAGAATTAGATTTGTTCCACTCTTCCAATGAACCATCTTTTATTTTTCCCTCCTCACCATGAATAAATCTTCTTTTGTATCTTCTATTGCTTATCTTTCACCTTCCTCTTAGCCTTCATCTATATTTACTTTAGCCCTCATTATTCCCATCTTACAGAGTATAAGACCTTGCAAATTTCTGTCATGTAACCTTGACTCACTCCAAACATCTTACCTTCTACTTCCAAATTAATCATGCAAAGCACCAATTTGTTACATCACTTTCATGGACACACATATCTATGGTGTATGTGTTTAAAACATTAATTTATTCTTGGCTGAAATGTTTCCATGCAATCCATAATCCAGTCCTGTTCTATATCTAGCTTTCATTTTGTTAATTGTGGCATCTATATTATGCTGTGTGTTTTACAGTGAAGTGTTTCATTAAAATAGGCTGCTACTACTTAAATACTTTCTATTGACGTATTAACTGAAGACTCTTAGCATAGTAAGGTGACTATTTCTTTCCAAGGCTATTGCCTTGGTTTAAAAAAAATAATATTTAAGTATACCTTTCCTCTAGGTACCCATGATAGATAAAGAAAAAAGAAATATCATGTGCATTTGAAAACCAAATTCAGGAGGAAAAATGTGTTGTTCAGATCATTTTACTGCACATGTAGTTAACGCCATTTTCATATTGCTTTGGTCCCAGCTTCCAGCTAAATGGAACTGGATCTATATTCTCCCTTCAAGGTGAAGAGTAACTAGGTGCCAGATAAGTGCTCTGTGTCTAACCACACGTCACAAAGCAGATATTGGCCTTTTCCGCCCTAAATAATTTGTAATTCTATAGCTCTCCCTAAACCTGTGTTTTTCATTCAAGCCAAATAACCTAGGGACAATTTTGAAAATATTTGCTCCCTTTGTCTGTACAAATAAGACAACAAAAACCTCTTACTACAGGTTTAACATGCAGCTACTGTTCAAAACAGTGTTACACAATGAGTACAGCTAACAGTCCCATTTAGCTCGTCCTCATGTACAAGGGTGTCTTGTGCTCTCTTCTCAGTATTTGTCCAACTACTTTACCTATTTGCCAGTACCTAATGTTCCTTTAATAAACAATGAAACTCTATTTTATCTTCTTCGAGTTATGTCATCCTCATACTCAACAAACCTAAAGCTATACATCTCTCTCTATCTTTTGAGCTTTCTTTGTCTATTGAGAAAAAAACAATCTATGCTGCCTGCTCAGAACATGATATTGAAGAGTAACATACCCTGTGATTCATCTTCTTACACATGAGCACCAGGAAGGAAGGACTTCCTCTTGCCTTTGTTTTATGCATGGTGAGGAAGTTAGGGTAATTACTGTGGCCATAATCATTAGAAAACAATATATGATATAATATTATATATGTAATTGAAATATTCCTCTAAAATTATGTCCTTAAAGCAATGTCTGCCACTAATATCTGAAAGTTATTACATTTATGTAAAGCACTGCTCCTTTTGTGACATGTTTAAGGTTGAAATAATACTAAATTAAAGGTTTGTAATATGAAGTACCTGAACTTAGTGTGAACTAGTATCTCAAGCTACACCGATCCTTTACAATATATCATATATGAGTAGAAACTAGAGCTGAAGCTATGAATGGTACTGAAATTGCAAGAAAAGTCAGGGTTCAGGCGAATTAATTCAGTCACTGTCGAAAGCAGGTCAGAGA